TTTTCAATAAGCTGTGCTCTTTTGAAACCTTCTGTTTGGGTTTTTTGGTCCAGAGTCTCAGAGGAATTACTATCGCAGTCATATTGTCCTCTGAACCATATTGTATTGCACAATGTGTCAGAATATTAGCAGCATGTTCAGCATCGGGGCAAGTCTGCACAAGGTGAGTAATCTCCTCATCTGACATAACATGTGAGACACCATCAGTATGCAAAACAATGAAAGAATCTGTGTTGAGATCCAGTTTAAATTGTTGTATTTCAGGGATGGCAATGACTCCATAGGGCTTCAGATGAAAGTCACCAACTGAGCGAGTCATTGCAAGCTTTCCATTAACCTTTGGAGAATTTAATCCCCAATCAATCCATCCATTAAACACCTTTATTCTTTGCTGCTCATCTTCTCTGGATGGGTGATGTGCAATTGTCATTGAGACTGCTTCACCCAGTCGGCACATTAATGCACTACTGTCTCCAACACTAGCTACTGTAAGATCTGTACCATTTTGTAAGAGAGCTACAGTCGCTGTAGTACCACAGTGCAATATGTTCCTCTCATGACCTACAACAGAACCACATGAATATAATTCAAAGCTCCTAAGCCAAAAACCCTTTCACTTCCATGAGTGACCAAGATAGAATTTCTCTTTACAGTATCAATACAATGTCAAGCAAACTAGTGATGAAACAAAAAAAAAATCAATAATCAGTTGATCCAAAACCAAATTCTCCACACTAACATAAGAATTATATGGTATATAATAAGGAGAATTACGTAAAGGATCTAGTGAGTAAATGGGTTGACAGATTTAGTGGAAAATATGCATACTCAAAAATTCTAATTACCAAATTTTAGATTTTGTGAGCAGAGGGGAGGGAATGGAAAAAGTATCAAACTGTCATCTGATAGACTGCAGGGTTTCCCTTCCAAATTGTCTTTTATTCACTTGAAAAACACAGGAAAAGTTGATGTTGGACAAAAAGTCAATGGAGGCTTTCACTGAGTATTCAATTTTCCTGTCTTTGTATTAACTACAATAAAGAAATCCTAAAGTTGCTCAAGGATTTGTTAAAAGATCAAGAGACTGAAAATTTGTCCAGACAATTTTCATGCTGCTCTAGAACAAGGGTCTGCAGCCCCCACTGAATCCCATCTGCACCTTATCACCCCATGCAAGTTATTGACATTTTGTCTCTGCTAAGTTATTCCTCTGTAACAAAAAACTTTGGAAAATGATGAAGCACAAAGAAACATTATGCGATTAAAAATGCATCAAACCTTAATTAAAATGCTGATGAATATTTCCAGATAACCCCGTACCTCATTCTGCATAAAGGTCTTTGACAAAAGGAACAATAGCTAACACGACCTTTGGGACTAAGGCTTTGTCTTAGAATAGTGTGAGGTTGGACAGATTTATTTCAAGAACGCTTTCCAACTGCACGCTGCTACGTTGGAAAGCACTTATCCCCCGCCGTTACTGGGAAGAAGTACATTTAGTAGTTTATTTGTTATCATTATTTTGCCTTCTAGTAAACCTTCTTCACCCTTATCACTGTATCCAATAACTATGTCTCCCTAGAGAAACTGTGTTCGCGTAACGAACAAAAACATAACAAACAATTACATAACGTTTCTCCTAAACCAAAGCACCAACATGCTTTCTACGAGAATGGCCGCACCGTAGCAAATATATCAACAATCCCCACTGTGCCCCTCTTCACATCACATTAATCAAAATACGGTGGATATACAAACAATCGGAAATTATCTGAAATTAAGGGTGAAATCGCGCCAAACGAATGCAGATCGAAACTTCGAAGCAGTGACGCACGTAGAAAGTTTCCTTTCATAATATTGATGGTACCAGTGAGCAAAACTTCTAGAAAACGGTGAAATTTGAATCCACTCAACAATAAAATATTTTGGCGAAGAAACTAGTGTCATTCAACGAATTCAGACAATACTATGTTGTAGAAGTATCTGATACGAGCACGTGCTAAACACAACGAAAGTGAATAAAACGTGAACTGTTTTCTTTCTAACCGGATGACAATCTAACAACTGAACAGAGTAAAACTAGAGAATTACCACTAAAATATCTAAGCTAATTCCGTCAAAATATATGGGGCGCCTTAACGAGGGTAACAGGTCAGACGTGAGTAAAATTCCAATCAGTTTTCAGCGTGTACCGTACATAATTCCTGTTGTTTACAACTACTTCGTACCTTACCTTTTTCAATAAGCCACTCACAGTATTCCTTCAAATCGTTGTTACACTTAATAAAAGCTTCCACTAATACACTTTCAATACTTTTATCGCTTCTGTAAAAGTTCTTTATACAATCATGAAGATGTTCGCTCACAAACTCCACAGCCACTGATCCACCATGGCCGTCGAACACGGCAAAGTAATATAAGTCTGGTTCTAGTTCTAAAATTTTGTAACAGTCCTCATTCGCCTCCCGTTGTCCTTTCGCAGTACTTTTTCCAACCGTGTCTACCGAAACATTATGAAGAAAAGATTTGGCTTCAGCGTCGTGCCAAGCACCTAAATCATCGAAAGGGTTTGAAACAACATGATCACCGCCGCCATCGCTCCACAAGCGAACGCTCGATATTTCGCTGTTAGTGGAAGTTTCGCTAGAGAAACTTCGCGAAAATTTTTTTAGAACTGTAGAGTATTGAATTTTGTAGTTTCTTCGAATAATTCTGGGCAGAGAATGCACTCCGATTCGGGCAAGACTCGAAATTCTACGGCACAACATGCTCTTGTTTGGACCCTGAACTAGAAGGAACTTACAATGTTTTGCTCTGGATGACGAAATATTCGATTTACACATGAATGGGATTATAATAAGATTTGTGATTGGCTAGTTTATGCTTCTATAAAAAAAATAACTTCTAATTGGTCACATCTTGAGACGACGCCTCCTTCCTGCCCTCAGTCCCGAGTGCACGTCGTCGCGCGCGACACGAGAGTTTGCACGAGTGTTTTTCGTGCAACGCGGCCAAACTCTTACAGTTTTCACTTAAGAAAGAAGGATTTTTTTCACATTGCCAACGAGGAGGATATGTGATAATTTAAAGGTAATTATGAAAATTTCGCGGAAACAAATTGATTTTTTTCAATGTCGAGGCACATTGCAAAATTTTAGTTTCTTTCCTAAGGACATGCTGCAATCAGACCAGGTCAAAATACTTCCTCAAACTGTGAAAATGAATCAT